AGCGATGAACACGTGCTGAGCAAAACTTGCAGCTACAAAATCAGTGGTAGCAAGCAGAGCGATCGCGATATTGGACTTGTGGGCCCTCAGTCGTCGTTTAGTTTTTACGGCGATCATCACCAACGCATTCAGGACAGCAGTGAAAGGAAAGGTAAAGATGTTGATGTTTATATTCAAAATAAGGCAAACTTGAGCAAAAGGAGAAGGTTTTTCTAGTCTTCCTCCCAAGATAACATACATCCGACATTCGTGGTGCATCAATTCACTTGCGTTCATGCCGGACGGCTTCTCAGATTTACCTGAATTCAGTTGGTGGGTTGAGAACTGTTCACCAAATTAATATTCTCTCTGTGGACCTTCTACTCTTTGTTTTAAGATGGTCGTGTCACATGCACTTCAGTATCGTTGTCTGGGTGTTTTCCATGATTTTGTTTTTTACGCATAAATTTTTAGTGTTTGAACTATGTGTTAAGGGCTTTTAAGAAAACAGTTTCTTTGAGTGAATTTCCGTATGCCATCATCATTAACAAAAAATCTACCTTAACTACAAAAACTTGGTGTGTGGTTTAGAATGGTTTTCTATCCGAGTTCCGTCGGCAAGAACTAGCCACGAAAATATTTTTTTCACCTTTTAGCTTTTTTTTTGGGAAAAAAGGAAAAAGAAAAGGATAAAAGAAACCAAAACAGTTGTTTAAATAGCCTTAGAAAACATCAATAATTTAAAAGCGCTGTTAAGTTTGAGTTTCAATCACTTAAATTACCTATAAAATATTCACTTCCAAGCAACGTTTACGAAAAGTAATTATGTTTAAAATGACTGACAATTTAGTCAATTAAGCTAAATGTTAATTCAGCGTGTTTCAAAAAATTTCAAAATCTACGTTGCATTTTGTCAACAATTTCCTGACTACGATATTTCCAGTGAAAGAAACTCAAACTTAAGGGAACCGATTTATCGAATAGGTGATACTGTGACGTGCATTCATACGTCACAAGAAGTTACATGTAGGAATTCCTTCCGTTTGCCCTACTGCAGGACAAATGTGAGGAAATTTTCACTTCGTTTTTCTCTTAATGCTTGTGTGTAATTTTTCGCTTCTTTCGTTTTTTTTATTTTTCTTTCGGTGTCACTTTTTTTTTTT